ACCACTGGGGGGAGCCCAAGCTCACCCATTCAACCATTCAACTTCCACACACTCAACAAACCAAACTAAACAACTTCTTAGTTTAACGACTGTTACGTTCCACAAGACTTAACTAATTAAATTCCACTGGTTTCCACTGGAGGGCGCCTCAGCACCATCAGTGGGACACGTACCTCAGTCTGAGAACCATAGATGTGGTGAACAAAGGGCATAAACACAACTCCCATCTGGTCTGCAGTCTCCTGTGAAATTGTTAGACACACACACACACACACTCTCTCTCACACACACACACACACACACACGTTAGTGGTTTTCCATCCCGTGCTGGTCCTGGATCAGCTCGTCCACTCCTGTGTCTCCACAGATAAAAACAACAGTTTTGTTAAACGTCTTTGCCAGGTTCCAGTCACCGTCCCTTATTTTAATCCTAAACTTTTCACTTTTATTTGAATCCAGTGCAGCTCCATGCTCTCTCTCTCTCTCTCTCTCTCTCTCTCTCTCGTCCCAGTTGTTCCAACACTTCAGCGTCTGTTTCAATTGAAACTTTATTGTCCTGCAGGGAGCGCCGCGCAAACTTTTCACAGTCTGGTGCCATGTAAACACATTCTGTCACAGAGTATTTATTAATGTATAGTCTGTGGTGGAGCTGCTGCTAACTGCTAACTGCTAACTGCTAACAGCTAACTGCTAACAGCTAACTGTAGTTTGAGGCGGTCGGTGACAGCAGTCAAACTGATATCAAACTATTATCACTGAGAGACATTGGAGATGTTTGAGGCCACACGGTACCTTAGTGGTAAGAGCTACTGCTTTACAACACAAATGTCACCGGTTTGATTCCCTTTATAAACTTATAATTACTTCACTTTCCTCAACAGCGCCTCTCTCCAAAAAAAACCCAAAAAAACTACAGATGAGGTGAATTGTTCAGACGTGGGAGATTTTTAAGATCTGAAAATATAATGTAAAAAAACGACGGTTTTGTTTGGACTTTTCTCTCATGATCTCTGAGTGACAGCAGTGTGTGACGGTCACTACACCGTTCCCCGTCAGCCGGGCATCAAACACATGACCAATGAAGCAGGAGGTGGAGGGAAAGGACTTACGATACGAACGTTGGCCGCGGCCGAGCGAGGTCATGTTTGTCTCCAGGAGAAGGGAGTTCAGCGGGAGTTCATGATTCTTGGAGAGTTTTGGCTTGACCTGACAAAAATAAGCAAAGCACCGGAGAGTGCGGCCGAGCAGAGGTTAGTCAATTACAAGGCTCAACACTCGTAACTTACTTCTAACAAGCAAAGGCTTGGCTCTCTGTGTGTGTGTGTGTGTGTGTGTGTGTGTGTGTGTGCAGTTGCATGAGACAGGGACGAGGAAAAAAATAACGTGAGTGCTGAAGGTTTCAATAAGAATATGTTTGTGTGTTTTTGTATGTGTTGTGTTTTTGATTTTGTGTGTAAGGTTGGGACTGAACTGCAGCTACAGTACAGAGGGCCGTGACGTGTGGCTGCTTCTGGTACTGCACAGTGGCTGCAGTGGATCGACGGTGATTAAAACGCTGGTTTGAAAAGTAAACGTACACGGGTGTCGTTAAAGGAGTTTCTCTTTTTCTGTCTCTGTTTACATCAAATCACTTATGATGATGACACACAAACATCTGTCAGCGTGTGAGGGGAACAAACCCAAAAACAGGGACAGGAAAAACCAAGTCGTGCCTTCGACTGTACGCTGACGACGTTCAACTCTGCTGCACGTTTGAACTGTGGTTGTTTATGTTTTAGTTTGTTGTTCAATCAACAATCACTGAATTTAATGCCTCAGCTGACAATCTGATTACTGCGCAGCTTTCATCCCCACCTAAACGCAGACCCCCTGTGGCCAAACACCGGTGTTGCAGTGTTTTCTTTTCTTCTTAAAAAAACGCTTTGAAAAACATTTAGGACGAATGAAGGTGGTCAGATTTAGAACCACCGCTCACACTATCAGGAAAAGAAAAAGAAAAAAAAAATCAAATATGGGTCACACAAGGGCAAAAGTAAATCTGCTCAGCTGCAGCTGCAGCGGCCGTGGGACACACACACCTCCAATCAACAGAAATCACCAACCTTTAATGTCCACAGATGTGGACACACACTCTATCATACTGAGCTCCAATATAAAAGCTGGAAGTTTACCTTTAAAAGACAGTCACACATGGAAGTTATTAAAACTGTCACAAAGCTGTTGTTTGTTTGTTTTTTTTTGTTTTTGTCACCGGGGGGGGGGGGGGGGGTGTCCCGGGGGTGGGGGGACCGCCTTTGTTTTTTTTGCTG